TCTTGTTGTCAAGTTGTACTCAACTATTACAGAGGGGATGTCAAATTTATTGAAAAATGGCAAGATTGACATCTGTACATGTTTTTCTTCCCTAAATGCAAAATGTTGCTTTAGGACGTCCATATTATGGCCTAGACTTCTTAACAATAATACGAATTGCTTTATCAAATATTATTTGTTTACCACTACATGGAATCCCCAACATGTGAATGATAGTGATTGAAGTAGTTGGGTGCGTCAATCACTTATATTGGAAGTCTCATCAGCCCTGATGGATTGGTGTCTTAACAAATCTTGACGGGAATCGAGAAAGCTCAATTGGGTTCGTCAACTGTCACTTTCTGCGCATATGAGAGGTCTGTCTGTCATTGAAAGAGCCAATATATTGTCCAGCAGTTTGCTGTTTATTTTATGGCTGTGAAACATAATCTATGAGGTAGTGTGCATATGTAGGCTACGAGTTTTAGATTACAGGTGTCTCCGAAGTATTGCTCACAACACTGAACGAAGAGAGCAATACTGATGTTAGATGTAGGACACCACGTTAAAGTGGGAAATCGGTTGGTCGAGATGCAAATTTTCGTCGACCAAAGGAACTGGAATACATAATGCATTTCTTCAACAACCGCCTACTTAGACATGTAATGTTGGCTGGTATAGCAGTGAATCACAAGAATTCACTTTTTATGCTCTTTTAAGCTTTAAGATTCAATCTTCCTTTACACGTAACTTCTCATCCTCTCCTCCGGATTCATATTCTTAATATTTATTGTTTTAAATAGTCGGTTAGTCAGTCAGCTACAACGTAGGACCAGGCACATTTATGCATCGGTCCTAGTTGCCATACCTCATAAACACAACAAGATGAACGCCGGATTCATAAAAGTAGTTAATTCAAAGGTGGTAATATACAAAAGAAAGATTGTAATAAGGATATAGTACAGGAAGAAAGATATGAAGCGATTTTAATCTCTTAGTTTAAGGGAAGACAGAGAGTGTATACACCGACGCCATTGTGATCGATTCTGAGCCATGTCACTAAGAGTCTCCAACCATTGGTTACGATTGTCACGCGGACCCCAACCAAGTAGTCTGCATCTCCCAACATGTCTCAGACTAGAAGTTAGTGACTTCAAGCACTGATGTCACGTTTTGGTTTGGCCGCCCCTAACTTTCTTCCAACCATCTCCAACACCGGTTAGCATTGCACGTTGTGGTAATCGATGTTCGGACATACGTAACACATGGCCCAACCATCTCAGTCGATGAAGATTCACAGCCTAATCAACTGATTCACCATCATTCCCTAATACCCTGTGTCTAACCTCACTATTACTTACCCGGTGATCCCAGCAATATTTCTAAGGCATCTGTGGTCAAATATTAGTAGCTTACGAGTGTCTTCTACTCTTAATGACCATGTTTCGCCGCCGTAAATTAAAATAGAACGGACTGCCGCGCAGTATACTCGTCCGTTAATTGGTAGACGGATATCTCGCCTTCGCCATAGGTGACATAAGTTGGCAAAAGCCAAACGAGGTTTTCGAATCCGTGCTGAGATTTCGTCAGACACCAACCCATTAGGGCTGATCAGACTTTTATCGCTCCGAAAAACAATCAGTCGATTCGAATAATTATCATTACTATTATTGTCATTATTATTATTATTATTATTATTATTATTATTATTATTATTATTATTTCCCACATTATTCACCCTCTTTTATACTTATACAGCGGCTCGTCTTTGGTGGAAATCCGACTGTATCTAAACGTTCTCGAGTCACTGTCCGGTTGAAAATTGTATGTTACCACCGAATACGAGTACTGAAGCAGTTTTTCTGAAACCACGTGCACCATTCAAACTGGCTGCCTTCAACGTTCGCACATTTATGCAGGTTGGACAACAGATAGGGCTGGCTATGTCTTTGGAAAGTCTTAATATTGATGTTTGTTGTCTATCCGAGACCCGTATTCAAGACTCTGGCGAAGTACTACAAATTCGATCTCCATCTGTCGCTTCGAAAAGCTTGTTTTACGTGCGCTTATCCGGGGACCCTGTGGCATCTTCGTCTGGTCTTGCTGGCGTTGGTGTCGCACTAAGCGCTAGAGCTGAGGCAGCACTAGTCGATTGGATCCCCATTAACAGTCGGTTATGTGCTGTTAGATTAGAAAGTTCCATCAAAGTGAGAAGAAATCGGCGTGAGAAACGATGTCTTTTCGTCATCTCCGCCTATGCCCCGACAGATTGCAGCCCGGATGCAATCAAGGATGAGTTTTACCACCAGTTATCTGTTCTTCTCCAGAAAGTGCGTTCGACAGATATTGTAGTACTAGCCGGAGACTTGAATGCTCAGGTCGGGCGTCTAGGCACAGAAGAGAGTCGTTTAGGTGGCCGATGGGGACTTGTTGGTCGCAGGTCAGATAACGGGGACCGTCTACTGCAACTGTGCACAGACCACAACCTGTTTCTGGCTAGCACTAACTTTCGGCACAGTCATCGCCGATGTGCCACCTGGCGTCCTCCCTCTGCATCTCAAGCCTGGACTCAGATTGATCACATCGCGATCAGCTACCGCTGGCGTGGTTGTGTAAAGACTGCCGCTCCTTTTGGAGTACCTATCTGGACTCTGACCATGCCTTGGTCTGCGCCAATCTTGCCTTACTTTTCAGTGGACAACGAAGTGACCGCCACCAACGGATTGATGTTAGCAAGCTGGTTGCAACTTCTGTTGCAAGTAAGTATCGAACCGAGCTAGCCTCTAGGCTAGCTACCACTCCACCGAAAAGTATAGATGAGCATTGGTTGCAATTGCATGACGCCATGAAAATGGCGGGAACAGTCAGTTGTGGGTTTGCGAAACGTCCCGCTTTTAAGCACTGGGTTTCTTCTGGTTCCTTACAACTCATTGAAGCCCGTCGGTCTACTCCGGGTGACCGTGAGTTTGACCATAAACGAAGGATGTTACGTAAGGAAATTGGGCAAAGCTTGCGTAAGGACCGAGAAGCCTGGTGGTCGAAGCGTGCTAATGAGCTGGAAGCAGCAGCTGCATCTGGTAACTACCGGAAGCTCTTCCAGCTCATCCGAGCCACTGGCAGCAAGAAGTCTGGTGTGAGTGAAACAATCTGCGAGGATGATGGGATGCCAATCACTAACATCCATCGACGTCTTGGACGATGGGCAGAATTTTTCGAAGGGCAGTTCAACTGGCCTGCTGCTCCGGCAACATCGGTCAGACTGTCCTGCCCTCCATGGCCGGTGACGACTGATCCACCAAACGAGGAGGAAGTCCGCAAGGAACTCCAACTCTTGAAGCGTTACAAATCACCTGGCCCAGATGACTTACCTCCGGCTCTTTTTAAAGATGGTGGTGACTTTTTGACTAAGGAATTGACGACGTTGTTTACAAAGGTTTGGGAACTAGAGAGTGTACCAACGTCATGGAATGAGTCGATAGTTGTCCCTATCTTTAAAAAGGGTTCACGTCGTTCCTGTAACAACTATCGGGGGATAAGTCTACTTCCGATTGCGTCCAAGCTATTGGCTTCCGTCATACTTCGTAGGTTGTTCAAAACCCGAGAAAGATTGACTCGCGAGGAGCAGGCTGGGTTTCGTTCTGGTCGAGGATGTATTGATCATATCTTCACCCTCCGCCAAATGTTAGAACACCGCCATACTTTTCAAAGGCCAACAATCGTAGTGTTTCTTGACATCAGGGCTGCCTTCGATTCGTTGGACAGGACTGTTCTCTGGGATTGTCTATTGAAGAAGGGTGTGCCTGAGAAGTTTATTAACATCCTAAAAGCCCTATATAAAAACACCTCAGGCAGAGTGAGGGCATACAACCACCTCTCTCCATTGTTCCATTCGAGCAGTGGGGTTAGGCAGGGTTGCCCAATCTCACCATTCCTCTTCAACTTTGCCATCGATGACATTCTGGAAACAGCTCTGATGAATGTAAGTAATGGTGGTGTGGATCTGTTGCCTGGAGAAAGACTTCTCGACCTTGAGTATGCGGACGATATTGTCTTACTGTGCGATAATGCCCAAGGCATGCAATCCGCACTTAATCAGTTGGCAATCAGTGTCCGTAGGTATGGTATGTGCTTTGCACCTTCGAAGTGCAAAGTACTTCTACAAGACTGGCAGGATTCCAATCCTGTACTCACCCTGGATGGTGAGCAGATAGACGTAGTCGAGAAGTTCGTGTATCTGGGTAGCTGCATAAGTGCTGGTGGGGGTGTGAGTGATGAGATCAATGCACGTATAGTGAAAGCCAGAGCGGCTTATGCCAATCTGGGCCACCTTTGGCGCCTTCGTGATGTTAGTCTGGCTGTAAAAGGTCGGATCTACAACGCGTCGGTGAGAGCAGTTTTGCTCTATGCTTGTGAAACCTGGCCTCTCCGAGTTGAGGACGTTAGACGACTCTCTGTGTTCGATCATCGCTGTCTCCGAAGGATTGCTGACATTCAGTGGCAACACCATGTCAGTAATGCAGAGGTTCGGCATCGTGTGTTCGGGCACAGAGATGATAATTCAATTGGTGTCACCATCTTGAAACACCGACTTCGGTGGCTTGGACATGTTCTCCGAATGTCGTCCCAGAGAATTCCACGTCGTGCATTATTTGCCGACTCTGGGACTGGTTGGAAGAAGCGGAGAGGTGGTCAGTGCATGACATGGTGTCGTGGCATGAAAGAAAGCTGCAAAGGACTGGCTTGTGTTGGTCCTTCACGACTCCCTGGTTGGGGTCTGAGAGATGGTGCTACACAGTGGCTAGAGACGTTATCAGATATGGCTCAGAATAGAAGCCAGTGGCGATCCTGCTGTAACCTTCTTTTACTTTCTTCATAAAAAGTGGTTCTGTCTCCCTTACCTGAAAGATTTCTTCCGATTGTACCTTTGCGTTCCCTGATTACTAGCACATTACCTTACACCAATCTCTTCGTTATTGTTCTCTCTTTTTTTGTTGCGCTCCTTAGCTTTTTTTTCTTTCTTTGTATTCCTCTCGAATTTTCATTGTTTTGTGTGGCGCATATATATTGGCGCTCTCTTGTACCAATATTCATGTGTCCAAATAAATAAATAAATATTTTCGCCTTCGCCATAGGTGACGTAAGTTGGCAAACGCCGAACGAGCTTTCTGAATCCCTGCTGAGATTTCGTCAGACACCAACCCATTAGGGCTGATCAGACTTCCAAGATAAGTGAAGTTGTCAACGCGTTCGACTACTTCACTCCCTATCCCTAGTTCAGGTGTTGACGCAGACCAGTCCTGAAACAACAACTTGCATTCAGAGGGAGAGATGCGCATTCTAAATTTATTTTCACTGTAAAGATCTGACGTGGTGACTCAGGTGAAGCACATCTGTGTGACGCCGTAATTGTCATTACTGTACAGATTTCTAGATAAAATTCAGAAGCAATGCAGCCTATGTGTTGTACAATCCTAAGTGGTAGAGATAGCTTAGAAAAGACTGTCATACAAACAGTAACTTCACGGATTAAAGTTGCAGCGGAAACATCTCTAACAGTACACATAATTCGGAAATTAAAGGGCGAAAATAACCTTACCATTAAGGATTTTCGGGTAGTCAGGTCTTGGAAGCCAATGCTTCCGAGGCCTGTATGGGTAGAACGATTGATTTCCAAAACACCTTAAGTGTGTGCTACACGAACGCTCGTAGTCTTAGAAATAAAACGTCCGAGCTAAGTCTGATGGTGCAAGAATTATGTCCCGATATAATCGTTATTACAGAAACTTGGTTCACCGTTGATATAGACTGTCCTCCTTTCATTGTTGGTTATATCTGTATTAGAAGTGATAGTTTCAAGCCGCAAAGGGGGAGGTGTAATATTATACGTTAGGGATCACCTTCGTATACAATCAACCATATCGGAGGCTCATATCGGTGGCACATGTGAGGTTGCATATTGTAAGATTAAATCTAGAAATGGGTTAGTGACTATAGGGGGAATATACCGTAGTCCGTCTTGTCTTGCTGACGACTTTATCCTAAGACACATCTGTTCTTGGAGTATGGCAGAATGTTGTCTCATCATTGGGGACTTCAACGCACCGCATATCAACTGGATAGAGCTTACAGCTCAAGGTAGTGGTTTCGATAGCGACCTTTTATCTACCGTTATTCAGTGTGCACTTGTTCAATGCATCACAAAACCGACACATATTGATATGAATCATGATCCGTCACTGCTGGACCTCGCCCTCACCCACCACTCTGAGGATGTCTTTGATATCCAGCACCTTCCTCCACTAGTGAACAGTGATCACGTTGTAATTCACTTTAAGTTTAGGACACATGGTATACAATTCGTATCTGCTCCACCCCGTCCCAATATCTGGCGAGCTAATATTCCGGAAATCAGAAACTATGCTACGTCGGCTGATTGGTCGGTCGACGCGGATGGATTGATCGAAGATGAATGGAATAAGTTTAAGGCTACAGCCGAGTCCGTAACGTCGCCGTTTATCCCATGGTCAGCACGTAAGCTATCACATTGCCCTCCATAGATTAATAAGGAAACCCGGAAGCTGTTAAAGCGTAGGAAACATTTCTGGGACTTATTCTTGTTGACAGGTCATGCACCATTTAAGCGTCAGTACCAAAAATACCGTAATATCTGTAAGAAAACCATAGCGAAATCCCGTACCACTTACGAGCGACAGTTAGTATATGATAGCCGTACTTGTCCGAAACGATTGTTTTCGTATGTTAAACGGCAAATGAAACGTAGTGATGGTATTCTCCCGTTACTGTTACACGAAAATTCAGAATTACTAGCTGAATCAGATCGGGCAAAAGCTGAGACTTTTTCAGACTACTTTAGCGAAGTCTTCTCTACGTTTATTGTAACAAATACTTGTCCCACTCACACCGAGATACCAACCATTGAATCTGTACAGGTGACTGAGGAAACTGTCCTTCCGTTGATAACTAACCTCAAACCTGGTAAGATACCGGGCCCTGACGGGTTACATCCACGGTTGCTGTCATCTCTTGCGGACATTATTTCAAAACCGCTTGCGACACTCTTCAACATGTCCCTCTCACTCGCTCAACTCCCTAGAGATTGGAAGGACGCTATAGTTAGTCCTATATTTAAGGACGGTCAGCGACAGATAGTATCTAACTACCGGCCTGTCAGTCTAACTAGCATAGTCGTTAAGTTACTCGAAAAGATAATTCGGGTTAGGTTGCTAAGCCACATAGATTTACACAATCTGTTAGCTCCTGAGCAACACGGATTTCGTAACAAGCGTTCATGCTTGACTAACTTGCTTATTGCGAGGGAGGATTGGACAGCAGCCCTAGATCACGGTCTGTCTGTCGACGTGATATTCATAGATTTTAGCAAAGCGTTTGACAAGGTTTCACACGTAGGTCTTATGCAGAAGCTTACGAGCTTCGGAATAATAGGTACTGTACATAAGTGGATAGGAAATTTCTTATGTGACCGCAGACAGAGAGTTAGGGTCAATGGAACGCTATCCGATTGGAAGCCGGTCAAAAGTGGTGTACCCCAAGGCACCATCTTAGGTCCACTGCTCTTCCTTCTCTACGTTAATGAGTTACCGCTGTTACTTAGGTCGTCGACATTATTGTTTGCGGATGACGTAAAAATCTGGAGAACAATAAAAAGTGCGGCTGATCATCTGGATCTTCAAGCTGACTTAGACGATTTAGTTAGATGGGCTCGAGAGTGGGGCTTAGAAATCAATGCTAGGAAGAGTGTACTAATGCACGTCGGTCACGGTAATAGTTACCGTTACACTATTGAGGATAAACCTCTTCCATGCGTTCAAGAGCATAAGGACTTAGGAGTAATATTAAGTCATGATTTAAAAACAACTGCGCATTGCAAAGCAGCCGCTGTCAAAGGTTTTCGTGCGTTATGGTCACTTCGCCGAGCGTTCAAATCTTTTGACGAGGAAACGTTTCGAATTTTATATCCCATATATGTTAGACCACATTTAGAGTACTGTATCCAAGCAGCTAGCCCGTGTCTGGTAAAGGATACTAACTCCCTTGAGCGTGTCCAGCGTGTGGGAACGAAATTAGTGAAGGGTCTTTCTAGACTCCCTTACGATGAGCGCTTAAAACGCCTAAATCTTTTCCCCTTGTCGTATCGTAGGACACGAGGTGACCTTATACTGGCATTTCGTATCTTTAATTATGATTTGGGTGTTAATATGTCTTATCTTTTTGCTCCCTCCAGCACTAATAATCTCCGAGGTCATAGCAAGAAGGTTCATAAACCACGATCTAAAAAACTTAAAGTGGGATCCCGTTTTTCTCATCGAGTAGTCAATCGTTGGAACGCCTTACCCGAACAAGTGGTATCAGCCCCATCAGTGAATACTTTCAAGGAAAAGCTGGACCTTCACTGGAAAGCAATGTGTCAGGATTAACACAGGTTCATCAACCTACTATCCTTATTACTGAAGACTGGAAATAACTATGACAAAGTTCGAAGCCAGGCTAAAATGACGAGACTTAGTATGTTCAGATATTTAGCTATTGCGGTCAGTAACAAACTGACAAAAAGTGCTCTCCAGATCAAAACAAATTAATAATACCAAACATTGACGATTGAGTGCACTAATTAGTCCACAGACTTGCAATACTTTGGTCAAATTATTAAATGTCTAGCTTTGCTTATTGCCGAATGGGTACTTTTCCGAACTGCATATAAATTTTCACAAATCAAGATCTAAATATTAAACAAACTAGAAAATTCCATTTGAAACAGATTTAATTAAATCGCCACAAACAGGCAAACATTTTGGATATATATTCAAAATTCTTAATGATAATTAGAGCGAATCCAAACAAGACCTATCTTTAAAATATAAGACTTCAGGCCAAGTAGGTATAAACAACAACAAATTGTCACCTATAAAGTTTATAAGTAGTTTATATTCAGTCTCAGAACTAAATTGAACTCAATATGCAACAGAAATGAACTATCTGACAGTTTGCGAAGCTTTAAACCAGAATTACGAGAAACTACAACTTACTCGGCTTGTATGGCGATTTCACTCACATTGGGAGCAGTGCAGCTCAATCTCTCGATTTGCGCTGCCCGAAAGACCGACATTCGTGTGTTAAGGTGAATTTTATTCTTGGCGGCTTACAAAAATCCGCCAGGACAGTACGGGCCAATAGAAAAACTGAAATTGAGGTCGTTATAAAATTCTGTATATATATTTTTTTCGAACTATTTCAATATATAATCTAAGGAAGTTCTTCTAAATGGTTTTTCTGTTTGTTTGAATATATCATTTATGTTAGCTGAGTAACTAGGACAATTACAAATATCATCTACCTGATATTGTAGGTATAATTTTTATCTGTTGATCAAATTTGATAAATTCTAAATTTCTTGAAATGGAAGTGGTTCCTCGATATGAATATGAGGTTATTATTCCACCGGAAGGTGGTTACGTTTCTCTTGAATCAAATGTGTACAATCTGAATAATATTCATAAACCAATTACTGACGATCAGTATGGTGTATTTTTCATTGATCCAACTACAAATAATACAATTAATTCACACGCGCGTTTTAGAGGTGAAAGTATCCATGAAACACCAGACACAACGAGAAAAATCGACCATACATCTCCACATCAACACGCAGATATTTGCAATATCACTTCTATCACACTGCCCGCTCCTTTGCAATACTTAGAGCCTACTCAACAATGCAGCACAAGCTTTCATCATCATTGTCTTCCTCTTCAACTAAAGTATTTCCATTCTCTAAGGAACTTTACAATACTAAGCCAAATTGGCGTTGGACAATTTAGTAGTGTCTATCGTGCTGAGTGCAATCAACCTTTTGGTCTTAATGTAGCCCTTAAAGTTATCAAGGTATGTAAACTGCCCCGGGCGTTGATATTTCATAGTGGTTAATTACCACTCTTTTCAAGGAAATGCGCTTTTGGATAGTTGTTATCATTATGCACATAATTTTCTGTGTCATGCTTTGTATGCATTGTCTAAATGTGGTAACCTTCGTTAACTGGTTTGGTACATCTTTGACTAAGCTTACGATTACGACCTCAACTTTGAGTTCATCGAAATATTTCTTATTTCTATCTCTGTTATAATCTTATAGACAGGATTTGCTTACGCTATCATTTATCTTTGATAATCATACTTTTTGAAATATTTTGAACTACAGGTGAAGTTTCTGTAAAACAAAGTTAGCCATATGCATAAAAGCTCTATATCTCGAGTACGTAGTGCACCAACTCAAAGATATAGTGGAGTAAATCTTGATGGATTATCAGCATACTCTACTTTGTCCAACTACGAAGTGCAAGGGTCTATTGGACAAGGCCAGTTTTCAACCGTATGGCAAGCTTTTCACACTCCGTCTCGTCAGACAGTTGCTATGAAAAAAATTAAGGTTAATCCAGTTTTCTGTGACTGTCGTCCACATTTGTTGTCCACCAAACAGATGTTGTGTATGTCGATTTAGATTTGATTATTTGCATGCAAACCAAATACTGTATTACGTTGTATTTAAATGTCAAAAACTAGGCAATTATAATTTGGTTTATTCCTAACTCCAGTTATCATAGGTTTTGCATCTTTTACTGACCTTGTTTTCCGTAAAACTCATAAGTGTTTGAGCGATTTGTATGGTCTGTCACATAAAACTCAACTTTAAAACAAAGAAATATCAATAAGAAGAGTGAAATTTATCAACTCCTATATGTAGAATAAAATAGGTGTTTATCCAGCTTTTCAGTGCATATACACATACACTGGTATTTTTGTTTGCTTATGACGCATATATACTTGTATTAAAAGAATCAACGAGATTTCGTGAGGTTTTTCTAGTTTAACCTGATGTAAAACAAATGTATTCCGTTCATGTATGCTTACAGAAAAACTCACTACGTTCATCTTTGTGCTAGTTTGTTAATCCTCTGTCGATCTTTAGTTTCAAACTTTTAGAGGGCGGTATTGTGCTCATCACTCAAAACGTTCGTTTGGTTGTAAATCTTACATTTAACTGACAAATATTGGATGTTAAGTTCCCTTTATTAAGTCACTTATAAAACTAACTATATAAACAATATGATTATGTTGCCACATCATTTCAAATTTGAGGACAGCCAATAGCTACTGTAAGGTGAATAAATCTGGTATCACTTTCACGATCGAAATTTGAAATTTATGTACTCTATTGTTTTGCCAGAATGTTGAGTGTCTCACATATGACGAAATTCACGAGCCAGTTCCAAAAATACCATAGTAGCTACAAGTGAACCAGAGCTTGAAGACGGGAAAAAATCATAAACGCACTTGAGTATATTGTATTAGGGTTATGAATGAAGCAAAAGTTGTAAAAAATATCGTTGTTTCATACACCACATTGATTTCAACAAGTAAACGAATGCACAGGATATTTGCGGAATAGTGGATTGTGGCTAGAACCAAGAGAAAGAAATCCCAACATCCTAAATTGGGTTGAAACAGCTTGCTGAACTTGTAAAACATTTATTCGCTGGTATTATTGAAATATAACTTTTACGCTCAATGTATCCGATATCCTCAATGCTCAACCTCCGTCAAAATATATGTTTACGGTCTGACGAATATAGTGACCTTCAGAATACTAAGGATTACTTAGTGAACGCTGTGTATATGAAGATTAAAATCGGATCCAGTAATTAAGTTAAATGTTTTCTATTTTTCACAAATTTTGGAGACTTCACTACTATATATACCTCTGCTCCTTGCTTGTTAACTGTGAAAGATGAGTTACATTCATGGCATTTATTTGGTCGATGGTAAAAAATTTTCTCGTCATGTTACTGTGCTTAGAAACTTAGATCGATACATTTAAGTGTCAGTTTCAATGTTGTTATAGAACTAAATGAAAACACAAATTCAAAATTTAGCATGTTTAGCGAACCTAAAATAAATACATTTATGCTTTATTTCGGTACTGGGATAAGAATTTTTAGAAGCTCAAAGCCCTACTATACAATGTTAACATCCTTATATAACGACGGCTTACAAGCGTTTCCTGTAAATTCGACATCCATTTACTGGTAAGTGAGCATATATATGATGCTACTGTGTAAAAATGTTAATCTCTCAATAAAGCATTACACATGGCTGAAAGTTTATCTCCTCTTTAACGCAGATGAATAGCTATTTGATCTTCTTCATAAACTTGATAATGCTGAAAGAAATGACAAACAAGTTACTCCTTCACTTTTTCTATAAACACTGAATAATATTTGCTTTTTCAGAAAGAGTGCGAACAAAAAATTGGGCAGAACAGCATAAATTCATTGTATTTCGTTAGATTTTCATCGGCTGCTTTCATTCTATCATACTGTTGAATCGGAATTATCACAAAGTTGACATACTTATAACAAGGAAATTAGACAAATGTGGATATGTATCATCATGATGAATTGGCGATCCGGATAAATGTGATGAGATTGATGAGGTATAAAGTGTTGTAAATAAATATAATATATGGGAGAAGATTCTGGAATATCAGCTACAGTAACAAGAGATCGAGTTGAACTAAACATAGGTTTGTTGTCTACTGTGATTTACCTAAGCCTATTTCCTCTAGTTTTCATATATTTCTTGATAAGTTTCTGCAAATATTCGTTGTTCGTCGGACATTCCTTTGTCGTTCGTCAGGTCTGCTTCTAGTGTATCAGTGGTACATCTTTGTTCTGCTCCATTGAATAACATTTTAACAAGTGGCTTTTGGTAACTAATATGAAAAAGTATTAAATCGCAAATAAACCCCATTCCATGTATTTTTTCGATAATCTGCCTGTCCAATTGTTCCATTCACCCTGTATTGTATAGCGACATCGAGAAAATGGGACTTATCAACCTATTCATGTACCATTATAAACCGGATATTTTGATGAGAATCGTTGGATAAGTTTAGAATGTGTTTTGCTTGTTATTGATCATTACATACAATGAAAGTGTCATTGACATACTGCACATTATACGCCATATCATCAATCGGTGAACATGAATGCATATATTAGAACAGGATCAAGTGGACTTGCGATTATTACACTGTAAAATTGACGGCATATGTTGTCGTCGATTCGAAAGTGAACCTCTTACATGCACATAATAAACATTTATTTGAGTTCGGACACTAATAAAGGTAGAAGTTTAGGTTGCTAGCAAATTATGACGGTGGTTTCAGAACGTAGTATTTCGGTAAGCAAGAATGTTACATTAAGAAAAACTATTGACTTACCAGCATTGTTTATATACTTAACACAGACAATAAACTAAAGATGGGTTTTCAGTGTATAAGTAATTAAATGTTTAATCCCAACTTAGGTTGCTCCTAATTAATGTCAATTTATGCTCATTTACTTCATTATGAGGTCACTTGATATTTTCAGCTGTGTGATCTCTTGTTACTGTAGCTGATATTCCAGAATCTTCTCCCATATATTATATTTATTTACAACACTTTATACCTCATCAATCTCATCACATTTATCCGGATCGCCAATTCATCATGATGATACATATCCACATTTGTCTAATTTCCTTGTTATAAGTATGTCAACTTTGTGATAATTCCGATTCAACAGTATGATAGAATGAAAGCAGCCGATGAAAATCTAACGAAATACAATGAATTTATGCTGTTCTGCCCAATTTTCTGTTCTTTCTCTTTTTAAACTAGTCAAGGGATTAAGTGTATGATTTTAGTTTTCCCCTGAATTAAAACACAGGTTTTATTCTTGTACTTTCGAAGATTTTAATAAGTTCCTTCTGTTCCTGGTTTTTTTGGTAAAACAAACACGGATAAATTTAAACCAAGAATTTTCGTTAATTAACTTATTTTATTTAAACAGCGTATGTTTTGGTGGATTAAACAGGGAATCGATAGCGAAACTACCTTCATCTATATAGTTGTAAGGTCTTATATATGATTACCGAAATTTCGGAGATGAACCTTGATTGTATGTCCAATATCTGACTGCGTATTGTCGATGTTACACTAATAATTTAGTTTGCTTTTATCAGTATGAAATCATTATCTAGATAAAGGCAGTGTTACTTGTGTTTAAGTTTTGAAATTTTTTGTTCTGAAAATATGATATAGCCTCAATACCTAA